AGATGACCTTTAGATGTCCCTTCCAACCCAAACTATTCTATGATATAAAAGGTAGGAGGCCCATATTATTACTAGCTATACAACTTGGTTGTTTTGAATTCTGTTAGAGGAAACAATTAAAAAAAAACTATAAACAAACTTTGGAGACAAAGAAAAAATTGAAGCCTTGGTTTTGAAAATATGTGCAAATCATTTTAGTTCTTTGCCTTTGTCTTCCATTTTCTCTAGTGCCTGGAAGAAAATTATCTACCCTTGACTTAAGTATCTATTATATGGAATTAATTTTATCTGTATTTTCTCCTTCTCCCACGTTTGCTAAAAGGGCAGCTGATAGGCCACTTCTTCCATACTGTTAAATGGCTTTTGGTCCTTTTGAGATGGATGAAGTTAGCAGGAGAATGTAAAATGGACAATATACTGCCTACTCTTTAACAAAAGAGAAACTGTGTTTCTTACTACAAAAAAATCATGTTAATGCAACCTGTTAGGACTTTTCCCTTTTAAATTACAGCTGCAAAAACAAACATCACAGTCATATTTTACTATTTATACTGAAATGAGATCTGAAGTGTTACTTTTTTGGTTAGAAATAGTATTTTAGTTGTGACAAGAAGAACTTTGACAATCAAAGGGCAAGTGAAACTGGTTTGCTAGAAGTACTCTCTGGGAAAAACAAACAAAGAAACCTCTAATAAAATAGTGGAAACAATAGTCAGACTAACTTATTTGTCACATTGCTGTATTTCAGCAAATACCTCAACAACAAAAGAATTAGTAGTAAAAGAAACTTGGTATCACATAGAAGGCTTTTCTTCAAATAATTCTCTCCTCAAGCATTGTCTATGCCATTAAGTTCAGAACTGTTAAAATGGGATATTAACAACGCCTTCTGCTCAAATACACCAATTTCTTCTTCTTTTCCAAGATCAACATCCTTCCCCTATTCTGTGTAAGCACAGGCATTACTTATTTTCCCCTCAGTATAAATTAATATATCCTTCAATGAAGTCTTACCTAAAATTCTCTGGACTAACCCTTTTAGTTCTCAGACTTGCATACATCTAGTCTACCAAGACTGTTCACTTAAAATCATAACTCTACCCACTGTAAAGATCATATTGCTCCTTTATCTACTCACCACCGTGCTTGCTTGTTTGTTTTTCAGTGTCAAGTTCTCACTGAGCCAAGCAAATAGCAAACACACATTGGAATTTAGCATTATGCATAGCTTATATCAGCTTAACATTGAGAAGAGGTACCCTGCACTCACCTATTTCTCTCTTCAGTATTAGGCATTTGTTTTGTCCTAATGCACGTGAAAGGTATTTATCACGTACAATAAAGATGCTAATGTCAGACAGCTGACTCCTTCAGTGTCAGAAGGACAGGGGGAATGGAGAATGAGTAGATTTCAATCACCTGAATTCCAACAAGCATCAACTTCAAGAAAATCCCAGATCTCATTTATTTCTAGGAACTAGCAACTGCTTTTTCCATCTGTATAGGACACTTAAAGTAAGGTCCAGCAACCCAAGCTGTATAAATTCCTAATGTTAGCCTGAAGGTTTTCTCTGCTCACCAAGGCATCACTAAGTTGCAATGAAAAATTTCATGGATGTCTGGCTAGTCTACCAAGTTTACATCTGAAAAGGAAATGGATCAAACCTTGATCACCATAAGAGACAGATTCCTTGTAATGGAAACAAAACAACAGAACAAAAAAAAAAGACTTTGGAAAAAGCTCAGACAAGCTTACGAATGGAGTGTAGGAATAATGACGGCACAGTCAATTGCCTCCCCTGCTCTCTACAATGGATGTCTGGCTAGTCTACCAAGCTTACATCTGAAAAGGAAATGGATCAAACCTTGATCACCATAAGAGACAGATTCCTTGTAATGGTTACCAAACACTTTCACAGAAGAAAAAGACTTTGGAAAAAGCTCAGACAAGCTTACGAATGGAGTGTAGGAATAATGACGGCACAGTCAATTGCCTCCCCTGCTCTCTACAAACCAAATCAACACAAAGAAGGGGACCAAGGAAAGTGCATCTCCTGTGTGCGATAAATGTTCTCCTGAACTTGCACAGCACTTCAAGAGGCTGTCAGAGTTGTTGACTTCTGTACAAAGACCTGTAATGGTGATTCAAACATTTAAATAACCCAATTGGTGCAGACATCTCCATCATTACTTTTTTTCTGTTCTCCTTTTCCATCCCCTCAGTTTTCTTGCCATATGGCTATGAATGCCTATTTGCTAAAAGCTTACGAAACTACTTTCTTTGTGTGGGTCAATGCTCTAAACCAGGACTTCCGGGCTTCACTCAAAAGCAACCCAATGAACGCAAATCATGAAAACTTGCAAATCTGCATTCCAAACTACTTTGGAGTAATTTTAGATCTGTTTCTAGTGCTCTTTTTCTGTTAATTACTTTACCACTGTGATGATACTTACTTAAAGGAATTAACAGAATAGCAGGCTCTTCTGAGAGTTATTTCTGTGTATTGCTAGCACATTTGGTCTTCCTTTAAGAAAGCTTATTTCTCTCATCCGTTGACAGATTTCTTTGTTACTAACACACTTAAATGTAACCAGGGATCCCATGGAGATCTAGTGAACACCATGTTTTTGAACTTGTAAGATAAACTGCTGTAAGGCTTTATTTTCAGATATTTTCTCTTTTTTGTTGTTTTTGATTTTTATTCAGATTTAACATCTAGCTGTTATCTGAACACTTACTCTTTTCTTAAGATAAACATTGGTAAAGACTGTATAAAGAAATAAAAATATTTATAAGTATATATGGCCAGGGTAAAAGCCCTTCCTACAGTAAGACAGATTTTTAAAATGGTTGGTACCATGATATGGTAATTCCCATTTGTAAACTTATTTTACATTATTCAAGACAATGAAAAAATGGTGCTTGCACAAGGTTTATTAAAATTTAATTCTATTTCTTTTTTGCTCAACATTTCCTTCACTAAAGCAAAGATTTCCTTATACATTATGTATTCAGGATTTCTGATAATTCATTAAACAATTGTGTGCGCACATTCTATGACTATGTGCAACGTATGGTTTTTAGAAACCAATAGAATTATATATAGAGAAATAGATTTTCTTCTTAAAATGAATAGAACAAGACTTCATAATATCTGAAAGAACACCAGTAATTCAACAAGTTACTGCAGAGGATGGTTAGGCTCCATAGCCTCTTTAAAAACAAACAAACAAACAAAAGATTAAGGGAATTTTCTCTAAAAATAAATTGCATATGTTGTTATTTTAAACTTCATATTACTGTTACACACTTATCTGAAAAAATGTTAATCTAAACCTAATTATTCTCCTTAAGTAGCTTAACGTGTAGGTTTTTTGTGTTTTTCTTTTAAAGAAAACCATCATCATCATCAGAACCATGTTGAAAATGCTATTGAACAAATGACGTGATACAAAATGTCTCACAGGTTATGTAAAGAGCTCAAAGAATAAACGATTTTAAAAACACATCATCTGGTAAAAATCCCCTTCATGACACACACGCCACACAGCATTCCCCCCCCCCCCAAAAAAAAAAAAAAGTGGTAGACACTAAATATCTCCAGCTGCTGGTAAAACAATTTCCTTATTTTCCTCGCAACATTAGAATAGCTCCATCGTGCGTTCCTTTTCTAGCCACTCAGTTGCCTTATTCTTTCTTTTTGACTCTTTCTATTGTGTATGAGTAGCAAGACCATTTTTATAGATATTCAGACAGAGGGGAACACTGCTTCATCTGTTCAACTAACTGCAATAACCAATTGTTTCAAAACTGAAAAATTAGTAGCGACTCTTCTCTGTACTTTCTATGTACAAATTCTAATTTGCATAATTTCACATCTAGTGAAAATCTAGTATAAGGCTGTGGGAATATGAAAGTCCCTAGATGATCTTTTTGACTGCAAAGGGCTGGAAACAATATCTCAGTACAAACCATTTTAAAGATACAGAAAGAAGCTGAACACCTGTTTCGGAAAGCAGGAAGCGGAATCTAGTCCAATTTATGGTGATAAAGCTTGATACATCAGAAGGTTAAATACCTTTGGAAGATACCTGGCACCCAGCCTCTATTATCACGTTAAGCCAGATGTGATTCTGGAAGATGTATGTCTGTAAAAATGCTGAAATTTCACCTTCCATTTTCCTTGATGCAACTACTTTACATCAAATAACAATTTTTTACAGAAAAAAGTTAATTAAATGAAACCATTTAATAAAATCCATATAAAATTAAATCTGAATGTGAAAAAGAAACTTTTTACTTTAGGATAGTGATTGTAAGAGTTAAACCAGAATCAAAAGCAGGAACACATGACTTATGCATCCAGTCCTACCCATCTTATAAATTTTAGATTTTGCTATAAATGACCTAAATTTATACAAAAAGCAATTTAAAATGTTCAAGACATTCAATAGTAATTTCTACTTAAGCACAAAACACTTCAGGGAAGGGAATACCAGAAAAAAGAAGAAAAAGTGAAGACATTTTTCTTTGGCATAAAAGTCTTGTTATTAAGAGCCTTGCTTCATATCTGGTTAATTAAAATGCAGTATATTAAAATATAGTACCTTATAACACATGCATAGAGCCCGCTGTCTTGTACCACTGTTGGTCGGAACCAAATGGAGTCTTCTTCTTTGCTCATTCTTGCTCCATCAAAAGCTATAGGTTCCTCAAAATCTCCAGGTCCAGAGCTTTTGTACCACATCAAACTAAGTCCAGCACTTTGGGCTAGGGAGTAATTAGCTCTAATATATCCATAAAAGAGTGCACATTTTATACGAACAGGTTCTCCCACTAGAACTTGATATTTCTTGTAATCCACAGACCAGTCAGTGCATCCATCAGCTAAAAGAGAAGAGAAAATGACAAGAGATTATCAAAGGTGTCAGAGAGCAATATTCACACAGCAACCTTTACTGTGGGAAAGCATTGCATTTGAGAAAAGGTCCATTGAGTCACTAGCAGTACTCTTGATCCCTGAAAAATTATCTGCATTTTCACACCGTTAACGTCATGTACTTGTCCATGCAGAACAGAGTTATTACAAGATTTTGTGTTAAATGTTGATAATTTCTGAGATAACTGAGCAATTGCTCTTTTTTCTTTTGTGGAACTCCAGCATGACTAGTTATGAAATACTGGAGTGAAATTAGTGCAACACAGACACCATATGGTACCCAGGGTGTCATAATCTGTGAATTGCATCAATCAAATACCTTCAGGGTAACAATGTAAATGAAAGAAGGTATTAATTACTCAGTCTCAGAAGACATTAGGACAAGGAGCTGTGGCCTGAAACAAAATGTGCGAAAGTTTGGGTTAGATTTGAAGGAGGAGAAAAAACTATCTTAACAATAAGAACAATAAGAACAAATGTCCAAAAAGATACTGCCAAGAAAATGACTGTCAGTATTTATAATGGATTATTCAAGAACAAGTTAAACAGCTTTTACTTTGAATTCCTGACTTTCTACAAGTGCATTACAAATTAATTTAAATTATTAATGTCTTTATTTTTTCCTTTCCAGATTAGCAATAATTCTAGACTAATTTTCATATTCTTCACCTGTTGAATACTGTCAGTCACTACCAATACTGTCCTACAATAACTGTTCATCAGAAAGCAATACCAGATTTGTTTGTCTTTCTGAACAACAAAATCAAACAACAAAAACAAAAATACACCCAACCTCCCTCCCTCTTCCCCATTACTTTTAGTTAAGAATACCAAAACAACAAAAGGAGAACAGGTAATTTCTACAATGACTTCCTTAACAAAAGCTTATGTTTTTTTTCTTAAGGAATTTCAACCATGGAAATTCACCATTAGGTTCATTCACTTAAAAACTCAGTTTCCAGCCTCAGCTAGTTAATCAGGCCCCCGATCCAGTCAGTAGAAAGCAATCAGTACATCCAAAGGACAATTTATTTCATCTTAAAATTAATATCTATGACTCGTATCAATATTTGGTCTTTGAATTTGCCACTTCTTTTTATTAACTTTAAAAGAGCTTGGACAGCTAGCTAGCTTAGAAAATCAACTTTGCAAAGCTAAAGTCACATCAAATGCCTCTCACCCTAGAGTTGGTTGAATACTAACTTTAATGGAGAATTCAAGCTACTGTGCAAGGTAAAGCAGTATTAGCACTTTAAACATATACAATGTTTTCATCTCTTATTTGGGAGAATAGCATGCCAGTCAATGATTTTTGAGATTTACATTTTTTGGTGCTAACCACATCAATATGTCCCACCAGATAGCTTAAGAGAATATCAACTCAATCAAATATGAATACTGGCATGCTCATAATATTACGGATTTGTATTTTATGTTTTATCTAGTGGTGTACCCTAGGGGTCAATACTGGGTCCAGTCCTGTTTAACACCTTCAGTAATGATCTGGATGATGGGGCAGAGTTAACCTTCAGCAAGTTTGCTGATGACACAAAACTAAAAGGAGTGGCTGATACACCAGAGGGTTGTGCTGCCATCCAGAGGGTCCTCAACAGGCTGGAGAAATGGGCTGACAGGAACCTCATGAAGTTCAACAAGGAGAAGTGCAAAATCCTGCATCCGGGGAGGAATAACTCCATGCACCAAGATGTGCTGGGGGACACGCAGCTGGAAAGCAGCTTGGCAGAAAAGGACCTGTGAGTGAGCCTGGCACAAGTTTCCTAGGGAGGTTGTGGAGTCTCCATCCTTGGATGCATTCAAAAGCCAGCTAGACGTGGTGCTGGACAACCATTTCTAGATGGCTGTGCTTGAGCAGGGGTTTGGAGCAGATGACCTCCAGAGGTCCCTTCTGACGTCAACCATTCTATAATTCTGTGATTTATTACAGTTACATTCAGTGATAATCTTAAGAAAACGTGTCCTCTTTTCAATGTGGTCTTTCAATGAAGTGAACATGACAGTGTTTCTCTTCCTGCTTACAGAAATATTATACCAGTTAAACTCTGCCAACATTGACATTCAAGTCACTCAGAACTGTATTAACCTTATTACAGCTGGAAGCTCTAATACCTTAAAAATCTTCCAGGAAATACCTCACACTACTGCTCAGCCAATGTGCCTTCATCTATGAGAAGGTGCTAATGCAATTTTGACAGATATAATAGAAGTTCATCATTCTCATCATAAGACACAGACACCCTTCTGTGATATTTTGTGATAACAGTGATATTTCAGGAGATAACTGTCTATCTGTGCTTAAAATGCTCCTATTCCACTGTAACTGAGGAGTATAAACAGAGGTTTAAAACCAAAGAATGGAAAGAAAAATAGACTGCTATCTCCTTAAAAATGAGATTACTGTGAACACTCAGACAGATGATAGCATGCATGCACTGTAACTGACACTTCCTATGTACACTCTGCATGTGGTGTATAGAGCACACGTGCATTTTTCAGCCTAGGAAAACTTGGATGTATCAGAAACCTAATTAAAATCCTGATTTCCAAATTCCTTGAAGCATGTAAACTTATATTTTCAAAGACCCAAAGACTAATTATATTCATGATGCCTTTTACATTCATAGAAATCTTTATAGTTTTCTATTGACATTGGCACCTTAAAAATGTTACATATTTACATGTTAAACACTTATGCTACTGCCGTCATAAATAGGGACAGAGAAGAGCAAAGGCTTAATGTTCATTCAGATTTGTTAGTATTAAATAGATTGAAGGATTTCTATTCAGTTTTGTATTCTATCTGTGGTCCATTTTGACTGGATTTTCTTTCTTTTCTTTGTGTATAAATAGGGCACTGACCAAAGAAAATATCTAGTGTTTCTCTTCTTAGTTATGGCTGCTACCGACCCACAATCAACACCTCCATTTATGCTGGTTCAAAACAACTCTGGGAAAAAAAAATACACTCAAGACTTTTCAATGTTTTTATTTCTATCATCACATCATCAAGCAGTCAGTCATCCTTTATTTTATTTTATAAATTGGAAAATACTTGAATAATTCAACAGCTTTGAAATTTCAGAACTGCCTTCAAATGAATGGTTGTAGTCTCTGATCTCTATTTTAATATGCTGCCAGTTATTGCTACACATAATAGCACAATACAGGGTCCAGGATGAATACCATTCACTCAGTTATTTCCTTGAGTGATTTCAGGGGATGAAATAAACCACACTACATCACTGTCCTCATAATGAGATCGTTCTGCTGGATAAACAAGCTTCTTGCAGGCTGTACCTGCTGATATGACCCAGCACACAGCATATTTAACATTACTGAGGAGGTCTTCCCCTTCATTTTTCAGGATCATATGTATCATTTTCAAGGCAAAATTCAGCGCTGAAAAGGAGAAAAAAATAAAGCTAATAACTCCTGGGCCCACTGCTACAGCTTGGCATCATTCAAAAGCTTCAATTCAATTATAGGTTTCAGCGTTCGTAGAGGTCTTCAAGTTTCCAGTACATTGGTGGAAATCTGAATTCCGGACATCTAAACAATTTAGGTCTGACAGCTGAAAACAGTTCTCCTAAAACTTTTATAACAGTAACAGTAAATTCTCCTAAATTCATTGCACTTAATAATATTTAATAAAATAAAAATTAACAGATTTATTTTTTTCCTGCTTATCTGTGTTTGTAGTTCTGTTCTTAATGTAATTTCCTACAGAGAGGTTTATGCAATGTCACTGTGCCTTCTATTTATTTGTCAGCCAATCCAGGGTTTTTGAACACATTAGGCATTTGCAACCAAATCTGACAAAGAAGTGATCTCATAAATTGTGAAAAATGGGTACATAAGGGAGAAAGCACCAGGTCCTGTTCCTAAAGCTGGGAACTTGTCAAGGAGGGCATTAGTGGATGCAGAAATAAGATGGTAGTATGTAGGTAGAGTAAATATGATGGGTAGAGAATGTGAACAAAGGATATTGTAGCAGTGTGGCTACGATTTTTGCGTGGGGTGGAGAAGTATGGGGCATAATCTGTCAAGAAAACAGGCTTCCCTTAAATGGCTCTTCATAAAACAACTTTTGAAAAGTTTATCAAGTGATGCATAAGACTCAAGATTACTTCCTTTAAAACAATTTTCACAACAACATTTTACCATCAGAATCACAGTCTGTTCTAGATTCTCTCTTTTTACCCTGGTTGTTGCTTTTTGCTTTTTGCTTAGACTAGCTAGCATTAGAAAAAGGAAAAAAAAAAATCAATATTTTATACTTTATAGCATATTCATTAGAGTGCCTGAGCCAATTAGCTCTATGCAACATAACACATGGTATTCTAATGTGTGTTTTCATTATGAAGAAATGAGAAGATTGTCTATTTTTGGTTTGTGTATCTTTTTATTTGCTATAAAAATGAACTCCGACAGGAATGAAGAAGCAGAGCTTAGAAATGCAACACATTATGGAGATGAGAAAGAGAACACGGTCAGTTCTATTCTTAGACCACTTAGATTTTGTATTTTCAAAAAAGTACCAGTATAAAATTGGAAACATGAAAAAACCATGGATTTATCATTAGTACTAATGTTTTCAAATGACCACGTCAAGTATAGTTTATACATGATTAAATTTCCTTTTGCACTAAGACTGCTATTACAGCTTTGCACATTACTATGCTGCACTTCTGTTTGAGATAGCATTTTCATTTTGAAACGCATTTTTCATTCTCTTGAAAATTCTTGCAAAAATTTCGCTGTAGGCTAAAAACTTACATATTTTGTTCTCAGTCTAAGTGTGTAGTGGCTGGTATGAGGGGGTGCCAGTAAGGGAAAAAGAAGATGTTGAAGGACATTTGAGGGAGACAGAAAAATTATTTTGGATACCATCATCTATTAAAGAAGTTAGCTCCTAAAAATTGCAATTGTCCCAGCCCCACCTGAGACAGGTTTTAAAAGTGGCAGATTTGGTAGTTGAGGAATCTTGGCAAATGCACTAGCCCACAGAAAGAGGAGTAATGGAAAAAGAAAGCTTC